GTTCTCAGTTAGATGTCCTAGAATACGCCGCTTGATGAGACGCTCGAAGATCTTACTGGGAATGCTGGTTGGGCTGATAGGCCCATAGCTACTAGGCAAATGTCTATCTCCTTTCTTATAAATAGGGATAACAGTTGCCCTCTTCCACTGTTGTGGAAGGGTTCCTGTGTCCAAGCACATTTAAAAGAGATGGGCATATGTGGCAGCCAACATGTCCGCGGATTCTTTCAGTATACGGGGATGGATTTCATCCGGACTCATGGAGCTGAAGGAGTTCGCGCGTTTCAATTGTTCTTCCACTTCTGAGACTGTTATGACATAGTAATATAACGGGGATCTGTAGGTTACGGGATGAAGATTGGGTTGACTGATTGGAGATGGGATGCTAAACATTTGGTGGAAATGGCGGAAGATTTCCGCCACTTCTGTAGATGAAGCGGCTGGGGTACCGTCGGGTTTAGATAGGGCAAGGGCGGATGGTGTGTTTTGCAGGGTTCGTCGCATAAATTTGTACAGAACTGATCGGTTTACCCGTGCCTTAGCTAAAATGCCGTTCTGTTGTTTTCTGTGGAACTCTCGGATCCTTGCTTTGCATAAATTGCGACAGCGGATGAAGTCATTGGCATCTTCCGTTAGTTTCATCAATTTGTACCGAGCAAAGCACCGCGAAAGTTCTAAAAGATGACGGATAGCACGCAGTAGGGGGTGTCTGTTTGATGAAGATTCACGGACGCGGGGCACCAGCAGATGGTCCGCTGCACGGATACACCGCTCTGCTGTGCTACCCAAGATGTCTACGTCACGTATCTGATTGGTTTGTGGGGAATGGGCTTGAAGGATATGCCTCAGGTTGTTGAAGTTTATCCTTTTAAAAGAACGATCCTCCCTAAGACACGGTGTAATGGATCTGGGCCAGCGGACTTTGATATTGAAGGATAACACGATATGATCACTCTTGCCCAAAGGGCAATGCTGTTGGATTTTGTCTGTGAGGTGACTATCACCTGTTATGACAAGGTCTAGCAATGAGGGGGCTTGCCCGTTTCTGTATCTCGTTGGGCTTTTGACGTGCTGAAACCAGGACAGCTCTGTGACCAGATTGACAAACAGCCTACCAAATGTGTTGTCCGGGGCGTGGAGTCTGCCAATCTACTGCCGGAGCGTTGAAGTCTCCAGTTATCAGAAAATGCGCATTGGGACACATAGATCTTCAGCTTTTTAGTTGATCTCTCAGGAGTTGTGATTCTAGCTCGCCACAGGAGGTTGAGCGGTAGAATACTCCTAGCACCAGTGTCTCAGAGCGGAACAAGGGGATTTGGACCCAGAGGCAGCCTATGAAGGGGATGGGAGGGAGTGATAGAGTGATCGCTTGGGGGAGGTGGTCACTGGTGTAGAGGATCACACCACCTGCTCGACCTCTCATTTGGTCTCTTCAGATCAATGAGTAACCTGCAAGGGATATTTTGCCATCGCTGATTTCCGGGGTCAACCAGATTTCTGTGAGGGCTAAAACATGGGGTTTCTTATCGGCCACTAACTGTTTGACTTCCAGCATCTTGTTCGAGATGCTGAGACATTCAGTGGAGATGCACTACACAGCCCACTCACCAGCGATTTCAGTAGTAACAGGGTTAGAGGAGGAATATTTGGGAGGGGCTGTAATATGAATATCTGGTTTGTAATGAGTGGGCTGTGGACACGGTCCGGATTGTGGACCATTCTGCTGCGTGATTGCCTCGACCTGCTGAAGAGGTCAGGAGGACGAGTAGGATGGGACACGGGGAGAAAAGGGACGATTTGCGATCCCCTACGGGGGTGTGCGAGGTATCCCTGTTGCCCACTGGGATGCGCGTCACGGAAAAGGGGGATTGTGGTGCTAGTGACCCAGTTGGGAAGAGTGGTACGGGGGGTTTGCCGAGTAAACCGTTCCGATGTGGCTTGGGATTAGGGGGTGTCTTGGGGTTAATCTAATTCGTGGCCGGGGTGTGAGGCCTTGGTGTCGAAGCTGTAGGGGGTTGCTTAGGTCGCGCTGCGGATGTGATTGGGGCCCTGGGAGATTGTCGTGCCGTTGGAGGTGAGAAGAATCTCGTCGCTTGGTGGTCAATGCGCAAGAGGGGGATCACCGGCAGACAGCGGAGTTCGGGATCGCTGGCACTATTGTTACTTTTGAGGGCTTTCTTCCACTGAGTTCGGGTGTGCAGTGACTTGTCTGGGGAAACTCCCCGGACAAGATTACATGCCCTTTTCAGGGTCTCGGTTTGGGCGAGAGCGTCTGCAACCACTGATTCCGAGTTGAAGGTGATAAGGATACCCACCTTCGTCTTCTTAGATTTGGACTTCAGCCAAGACGCTCCAAGTGGTTTGGGTAGTGATGGCGCTGTAAGACTTCTGAAGAAGGTTTTGGTTGCTTGAACCGGAGAATTGAAACTGGGGAAACTACCACAAATTATAATCCGTTTGGCGCTAATTGTCGTTGATTTTAGTTTGGCTGCAGTGTCGAATATCTGTTGTTTCGATAGCGCGAACACCTGGCCTGCGGCAGCACATGCTGGGAAGTTATCCTTCAATAACGCTGTCAGGTGGCTTAAGTCGTTATCTAGTGACGAGACTTTTCCACGCAAATCATGTATAATCGAACCTTGCAGGCCAAGGGCGACTAGAGTCGCTTCTAGCGCTATTTGAGTGCTAGCCCAGTCGCTGGTTTCAGCCACCTCATGTAGTATGGGGATTTCCCGCATGGGTAAAGTGTCCTCGTCGAAGGACTGCGAGAGCTCAGAATACATACTTAAAGAGTAGTTGTACTAGTAAAATATAAATCGCAAAGGAATAAGATGGAATAGAGTTAGTTTAGAGTGCTCAAAATTAAGGATATAAGGAATGATGTACAGAAAAAAACCTATAAAACGTAATAATGTGAACTTATGGATCCACGACAGATTTTCAACCGGACGCGGTCAGTCAGTCAGTCAGCTTGTACAGGACAGGAAATGGCCACGGCCAATCGAGCGTCCAGAGTTCCTTCGGTAGTAAGCCACGTGTTGGCCCCGTACCACTGTGAATGTTCTATATTGTAGTTAGGCGCGTTTTCTTCTCGTTCCAATCGTCTCCGCATCTGCAAGGGAAGAGAAAGGCAAAAAATCTTCTTCCCTCGTTCAAGCGAGAGACCTCACATTTGGAAGCGCTTCCCTATTTGGGGTGATTAGTAAATGAGAAAACTAACTTCAACCGAACCTCAAACTGTGCATCTACTTCAAGAAATAAGTTCAAGCAGCATTTATCAAGCTCTTTCTTGAAAGCATGTACGCTCCCCAGCTCCACCAGCTCCTGTAATAAATTATTCCATGAGTACTTTCTTCAGCTTGAGCATGTGCCTCCTAGAATTGCTTTTTCTTCTATCGAAGAACAATGCTTGATCCGTCCCTGAAAGGCCATTCATCATGTCTTTATAACGCCACCTCTGAGTTTTCTTCTCTCCAAGGAGAAGAACCGAGGGTCCTGCAGCCTCTGCCTATACGACTTTCCCCGCTTTCCTTCGATCCTCCTCGTGGGTAATCGTTGCACCGTAGTGACAGTCTCAACCCTTTTCGCTCGTGTACCTTTTGCCATCTTCCGGATCTTGTTGTTTTACCGGTCCAAGATTACCTCGTCGGTCACGGTACGTTGGCATTCACTTTCTGCACGCGTACTAATCTGTACGCTTCTCTCCCTACTGTCCAGCTCATTAAAATACAACAGTCGTTGAGGTTTCGTGATATCATTCGTTCTGCTTTGGTTTGTTACCTCGTCCGTTGCTAGACGTACGAATTCGCGGACATCATTAACCCGGAGATTAAACTGGTGAGTTCGACCTGATGTTTTTTTTCTTTTTTTGTAGTTATCGCGCATTTATTTTCGTCGTTACTCTTACATTATTCCACTTGCTTAGTCCTTTCATTATCGCTGGTGTAACCTATGATTTACTTTTACGAATTTTATTAAGTTGAGACATAGACCTTGTACATTTTTATCTACTCATCACTTGCGTACATAATGCGAAACTTAGTGATCGACGATCAAGCCGGCGCAGAAGTCAACATGAAGCAGCAGGATAGCCCCCACGTTAATGGTATAGTGGCTAGAATACCAGACTTCATTCCCGAAGACCCGGTAGTTTGGTTACCTCAGGTGGAAGTGTAATTCCGGCTGGCCAGGGTGACTAATCAGGTCACCAAATTTACACAAATTGTGGGACATATCCCACGCTCCACTGGTCTTGGCTTAAGGGACGTAGTTTGCAATCTCCCATCCGATAGATCTTATGACGCATTAAAAGATGCGATAATCAACTGTTTGAGCATGACAGAGGACAACCGTCTCAAACAGCTATTTAACGAAATCCGTCTAGGGGATAGCGGACTACATATTCCCACGCAGCTGCTTAGCTACATGAGGAGTCTGACTCCCAGCTTACACGTAAGGGAAAATGTGCTACGCATTTGTTGGATGCAAGCACTGCCAGAATACGTCGCGGCTTTCCTTAGGGTATTCGCAAATAAGGCTACCCTAGAAGAGCTCGCAGAGGCAGCCGACAGCATTTGCGCACACACCCCGTCGGCTCCACCCGTCACCCGCGTATCCCCAGACTCAAGGAATTATTCGTGGCAGGACGCAAACAACCAAATGAATCGGCGTTTAGACGAATTAATGACTCATGTAGCCGCACTTGAAATTTCCCGCGATTGATCGCGTTCTAGCTCGCGTTCCAGCTCCCGCTCTCGTTCCTCCTGCCGTTTGTTATTCCATAGTCGACAGAGACATCCTAGGTCATAAAACATATCTTCTGACGTTTGCTGGTACCATCGCCAATATGGTGACGCAGCCCGAAGGTGCAGAAAACCTTGTAGGTACAAGCCATTACAACAGGGAAACGCCTAAGCCGACCGTCCCAGGCAACGACCGTGTCAGGTTTAGCTAGGCCAAGTCACCTATTCTACGTCACAGATGAGGTCAATGGCACACGTTTTCTAGTCGACACCGGTGCCCAGGTTAGCGTTATCCGCCCTCGTCTCATCGATCAGCGCCATTCATCGACTCTTGAGTTGGTCGCGGCGAACCAAACCCCAATCAAAACTTACGGCGAGCGTTCAGTCACACTGAACCTCGGAATCCGCCGTAGTTTTCCATGGGTCTTCATCATCGCTGACCTTCCGCAGTCGATTATTGGCATTGATTTCCTCCGTCATTTCAACCTCACGGTCGATCCCGTAGGCCGTAAACTTGTAGACCGTCTCACAACTCTCGAGGCAATAGGCGTCCTGACACTCGAAACATCCGTCAGCCCCATCATCTACCGACCGCTAAAAGAAGATCGGTTCTACACGGTTCTCTCCGAATTCCCGGAGTTACGTAAACCGTCGAACACTCTTCCACAGGTCAGCACTGATATATTGAACGACATCGTCACACGGGGTCTATCCGTCCACTGCCGTCCCAGAAGCCTCACCCCAGACAAACTTAAAGTCGCACGGGCAGAACTTCAACATATGTTAGACCTCGGAATCATACAGCCCTCTTCCAGTCCGTGGGCTTCACCTTTACACATGGTTCCGAAAATGTCTACCGAAGACTGGCGTCCCTGCGGTGACTACAGAGCCCTAAACAACATTACTATGCCTGACCGATATCCAATACCACACATCCAGGACCTGACAGCAAGTTTAGGAGAGTGTATGATTTTTAGCAAAATCGATCTCGTTCGAACTTACAAACAAATTCTCGTGCACCCTGGGGATGTCCCAAAAACCGCTGTAACTACGGCTTTTGGTCTCTTTGAGTTTCTGCGTATGCCTTTTGGTTTGAGAAACGCAGCTCAAACTTTTCAGCGACCAAATGTTTCATAGACCAAGTATGTCAAGGTCTGGACAACACCTTCGTTTATTTAGACGACAATTTGGTCGCTAGTTCAACACCTGAGGTACGCGAACAACACCTACGCGCTCTATTCGCACGTCTGACACAACAAGGGGTCGCCATTAATTCCGCCGAACGTTCCTTTGGCGAGCGTAGCGTAAATTTCCTAGGTCACCTGATCTCGGACACAGGTATTTCTCCGCTTAAGGACAAAATAACTGCCATTTTAGAATGCCCGGAACCAAATTCCCCTAAACAGCTCAGACGTTTTGATGGGTTAGTAAATTTTATTGACGTTTCATACCCTACTGCGCAAAACTCATGCAACCCCTAACCGATTTACTACGTGGTAAGGTTAAACAATTCTCGTTCACCGACGAAGCTTGCAAAGCGTTCGCCGAACCAAAACAGGCTATCTCCAACATCACATACCGGACGCATCTTTGGCGCTCACCACGGACGCATCCAATGTAGTGGTAGGTGTGGTATTACAGCAACGTGTAGGCAAAGAGTGGCAACCTTCAGCATTCTTCTCGAAACGTTTACAACCAGCTGAGTCTCGTTACAGCACATTCGGCCGCGAACTCCTAGCCATCTATCTAGCTATCCGTCATTTTCGTCACATGTTGGAAGATCGCCATTTCACTGTCTTTACGGATCATAAACCACTAATCTTCGCATCACGGGCAAACTCAAACAGACACTCTCCTAGAGAGTCACGCCACTTAGATTATGTCACCCAGTTAACTGAGGACATAAGACACATCTCAGGGGCGCTAAACTCCGTCGTCGATTCCGTTTCACGCATCCACTTCATCTCCTCTGACACCATCGACCTTAGACAACTCGCGGCTTTACAAACAGCTGACTCGGAAATGGAACTTCTTAAAAGTAATAGTTCCCTTCAACTCCAATAGGTACCACTAAGTACGTCCGAGGGTACCATAATCTGAGACGCCTCCACGGGCACGCCACGCCTCGTAGTGCCACATACGTACAGAAAACATGTTTTCACCACCTTGCACAACTTAGCTCATCCAGGAATACGAGGTTCCACTAAGCGCATAGCAGAACGTTTCGTTTGGCCAAAGAGGAACCGCGATGTAGCTACATGGCCACGTTCCTGCTTAGAGTGTCAACGTTTTAAGATCTTACGTCCCACCAAGACTCCGTTGGGCACCTTCGATACTACGACCGCCTGTTTCCAGCACATTCATGTCGATTTCGTGGGCCTACTACCGCCGTCAAGAGGTTTCACATATCTACTGACTTGCGTTAATCGTTTCTCCCGTTGGTCAGAAGCAGTCCCAATTCCTAATCGCTCATCCGAAACGACAGCCAAGACATTTTTAGAGCGTTGGGTAGCAAACTACGGCTGCCCAGTGACCGTCACCACCGACAGAGGTTCGCGTTTTGAAGGGTCATTGAAAGGTCTTCTCACCACGTTATGGTGCAAACACGCACGCAAAGCCGCATATCATTCAGGAGCCAACGGCCTGATTTAGCGTTTTCAAGGACATCTTGAAGGAACCCTCAAGGCTCAGCCCGGTTCAAAAGGGCATGAGTCTCTTCCGCCTGTCTTGTTGGGCATTCGGAATAAGATTAAAGCCGACTTGCACACTTCACCGGCCGCCCTAGCCCTCGGCTGCACGTTACGTCTTCCGGGTGAATTCGTTTCACCCAAGCCCCACCGTAGCTTTAACTATTGAGATTTTGCACAACGACTCGCGCACCACGTGTGTGAGGTACACACTACTACCACACGGCAGCAAACAGTACCCGTTTACGTACTGAAGTATCTTAAGGGTCGCACGCACGTTTTCTTCGCGTAGATAGCATCCGCACACCTCTGCAGGCACCATACACCGGTCTGCATAAGATAATCATGCGTAAA